GACTGATGTTGGTAAAAACATCTATGTCAGTGAAAGCAGACAAAAAATTAAATATATAATTATGTAAATATTAATATATAAAATATAATATATATAATGTTGTTTTTTCTATGGAACACAAACGGAGAATACCTGAGGAATCTTCATGCAGCTCTTTTCCACACAATGTACATAATTCATAATGACCTCATCTGTCTCCAAAAAGGACAAATAAATAAATAATTGACTGAAAATACAAGTCCTTTACACTTTCCCTGTCAAGTTAATACATTGGTTAAAACACTAACAACTAATTCAATAAACATGACATTATATTCAAATGTGATATATGAGGCTGACTGAATCATCCCTTTTAGATGGACTAATTTTCTAGGTGAAGGATCTTTCTAGGTGGACAATCTATACATTTACGCAGCATTACAAATGTTCTACATGGCTTTCTGGCTACTATCCACTAGTACTATCACAGGAAACTACAGGTGATAAGCCAACGACCACCGTTTCCTCTTGCACCAGGACTTTTTTCTTTCTGTTGACCCCAGATTCACCTTAACAGAGCTGCTCCTTCCCATCACAGACAGCCATAAGCCTGTCAGATATCAGTCCATCAAGAAATGAGACAGAGGGGGAGAGAGAGAGAGACAGCCAGCATGAAATATGAAGGGAGGAGAGCGAAAATCCAAGGGTGGGGGGATGATAAATCAAAAGATGAGGTCTACATCATCTAATGACCAGAATAAACCTCTTTCCTGTTCAGTGGCAGAGCTCAGAGACTCTGCAGTGCTTAAGCCGTGTCCCTCCTGATCCAGACATCCACTGCCATCAAACCAGGATTTATGACACATCACAACCCCATGACAACATCCAGCAGCTTCATAATCTCATATTTTTTTCTGCCCGTGCCTGACATTTCCAGCCTCGACATTCACTCAAGATAAGCCAAAAGCCCTCTGACAGGATTGAGAGCACATATAAAACACACGCTTAAGAATTTTACTGCCCCCTTCGCTGGAACTCATCAGTTCATGAGACGCACTGAGACACACGAATGCAACCGCCACAACATTTCATATCAGACGACTCAACAACCCATAGAACATCTGTTATAGAAAACACCAGTCCTGAACCACTATAGACCTTCATGGGGCCACGTTCACCCCAATATCCCAATGAGTGGTCAACCTGTATAGGTTTTTCAATGGCAAATTCTTGGGAGAGCTTCTGGTGTGCAACCAAGTTTGCTTGACGTCAACAAGTTTGAATTGTCATTGAACTCAGATGTGCATTTGGCAAGTCTGCTTGAAAACAGTGGTCTGGTTTGACAGACTTTGTAGAGAGAACAACTGTACTCATTATTACTGAACGTCTGATACATAAGGCACACAAAATGGAAAACACTTCAGGAGTTTCAAAGTTGTCATCTGATTGGTTTAATTGTAAGGGATGCATTCTTTAAGGGTCTGCATGGAAACAAAGCCATCGTGTCGCCAAACTCCCTCATGGCCGCGTTTACAACTATGACAATAAGCGCTTATCAGGATTAACCAAACAATTGATTTTCAAAAGCATGTGAAGTTCACAACATAGACTCTGTGCCATTGTTGCACTAAACTTACACAACATTCACAACATTTTCACTCCCCTAAGCATGACGCTGAACAAAAACTGTGAGTGGTTGCTTTCTGGCGGTCCTTGGCCAATGCAAGCTGCAATGAAGTCCAGACCTTCTTCTGTCAGTCTGAAGGTCTTGCTACACGAGACTAGGGCTGAGTTTACAATATCGATTCATGGCTTTTAATCAATCATCACTTTGAAGAACTGATATCAGTTCTTAAATCCCAAGATTAATCTTTTATGCTGTTTTCAGTTGATGCATGAACAAAGCTTCACTTAACATTATTTATAGTATGTCTACTATGCAACAATCACAATAAGCTTTATTACTTTTGAAATGTTTGAGTCGTCTAATTCTGTCAATTTTAACACCAAATTCCAACAATACCGTTATGATGCTCTTTGATGTGGCGTGACAGATCGCTGTAGCCGACTCATAGGAACCGATGATCTCTTCCTCTTTAATACTAGTTACAGCATGAAATAAACATGAATGAACATCAGAAGGTATGTTGAAAAAACAGAATAACTTACTAAACTGTATCAAGATGTAATCTCTAAATCAGTGTTTCAACCATGGAAAAAGGTCAATAAAACAGCTTGTAAACAATGTTAGGTAACGTTACATTTACCTATGGAAAGACATTAAATGTCCATAAACTCACTAGTTAGCTAGAAAAAAAATAACTTAGGAGAGCAGCATTTTGCTATATTACATCCTGATGATATTATCACCTGTTAGTGATGCCCTACTTAATGCGTGTTTGAATAGTTTGAAAAGTTTTGTTTTTTTTTGACAGCAACCGGTTAGAAGTATATATTTCAACCACAAAATTGAAGTGTAAGAAATTCTGGACTCTGTTGTTAATTTTAACCTTTAATGTTATAATAATGTACCAATTGACAGAGTTCTTTGTATAGTTTACAGCATTAGTTGAGAGATTTTTTTTCCTAAAGAATATATATATATACAGGCCAGGGATGCATGTAAGTATTTTAGTCTGGTTCTCATGAGAGCAGCTGGAGTTTAGTTTTTTGTGTGTGTGTGTGTATAT